AAATTAACACTGGTGCAACACGGGGTGCTTCAGTTTATTTGAGCGTTGGTCAATGTCAGACTGAACACCGTGTGTAACTGTACTTATCCGTATAGTATCACTGTGATAATCAGGAAGATACGCTCCTAAAAAGGGAAGAGGGAGTTGGAAAAACCATTTGCAACACAGTCCCACAGGATCTGAAGTTTTTCCCCTGCAGATCTTGGACAGCTCTGTTTTGCTGCTGAACACTTCACACTTATCACATGGAAGCTGTCACATACACACAAAGACAGGGACACACACACACACACACACACACACACACACAGTACTTCCCAACAGGATAAGTGCTCATCCTAGAACATCTGTGTGTATAAATCAGATTCAGAGAGGGTTACCTCACAAACCACCAGGCCGACGTGACGAGAGAGAGAGAAGCTTTTGGCAGCGACCACCAATCACAAACTGCAATACATCATTTCAATTTCCAAAAAACTTAAATAATGCTTCAAGTGGGATTTGAGGATGAAAAGTAGAGGCAGGCGGAAAACGGGCTACATTGCTGGTAAGTAGCTGAAGCTTGTCTATAACGTATGAGCAGTATTCAAAAATCTTTCAATAATGTGGCTCTAAAAAGGAGTAAAAACGGTTTGGACTCAAATTGCCTATTTCCAATAATGCATATTTAGAAACATTAACTCATCTTAACTTTTTAATGAAATAATCAATAAACAAAGAATACATTTTCCAGTAAAGTTCACATCCATGTCCGACCAAAATGTCATCACTTCCTAACTTCAGTTCATCGTCATCCGGGGAAGTCCCCTGATCCGCTGAGGGAAATATCTGTCAATGCCGAGTGTTTAATAAAGGGCCTATTTGGGCCTGTGCATGTGACAATGACTTGCACACTCCTATTCGCCAGTGAACTCCTGGTTACCCATTACATACACCGCGCTGCTGGTGAGTCCAACGGGCCGAATATCCCCCACCCACTCACACACACACACCTGAAAAAAACATACGGGAAACGTTATTGGCTTCCCATCAGGCTTAAACAGAAAACACACAGTCATTAGATTTAGGAGGAAATGATGAGAGGGGGGTGGGAGGGAGTGATGTGAGTGCAGCCGATTGAGGAGATAGAAATGCGTGTGAATCTGCCTTTTCTTGGTCAAACATCTCATCGATTAAAGCCAGTTTGTCTCCAGGTGCAACAATTTGAAATGATCCAGTAGGACAATTCAAACTAATTCCCATGCTGCACTGCTGCAGCAGAAAAACTCCATAGTTTCTGCTCAGTGTTTCACAGACAGCTGGTGAGGGCCTCCCGCTAACTCGGTCATTTATCTGCTTGTAAATCAGCAAACTTTTATGAGACATTTAACAAGACTCTGCAAAGACACAAGGGAATAGGCTGCAGACTTATTGGGATATCGTATAACACCTCAACAGGCTGATCAGCATAATTACATTGTTGTTGTTGTTGTTGAGGAAGAGAAAAGAGGAAAGTAACTATTGAAGTTGTTCAAAATGTGGGAGTCTTGTGCAATCAGGTTTCTATTCATTGTGCCGCTCTAATTAGTCTCCAGTCGTTCTAAAACTACCCACGGCCACAAACATTTAACCAAATTTTCTCCTAAAAAACAACATGATACATACATGGAGATTAACTTAAGATGAATTAACATTTGATCAAACATGTATGTATATATTTCATGGTTATCTGAGTGCAGGAAACCGATACGTGGCCCCCTTGTGGTTTCACAGGTTCAGACTCCACATAACAGTCACAGTTCTTTTCAATATAACAAACTCCCACAAACAGCTACAAATTCCGGGTCAAGCTGCTGTTAAAAATACTTATATGCACAGATTGTTTCATTTAGATTGAGCTTTTCCTATTTCCTATAGTTTTTGAAAAAAAAGCCCTTATGTATTTTATTAAAATCCTAGTGATCTCTGTTTTAAATGGTGAGAGAATGAAGATTTTTAGTTGGGATTCTTGCACATAGACCTCTAACCAGAACTCCCACAAGAAGCAAGAAACAATATTTCAGAGGTTAAAAAAGGTTATATTGTTGTTGTTATTATTATCATTACTAGAAATGAGGTCTTTAGAAACACAAACAACAAGGGCGAAATGCAAATGTTTTATCAAGGGTTTTTCAAACTGGTTTAGAACAAGGGACACAAACATAAATCACACGCCAACTAACTCATTTGAGCAGAAGTTTATAGAAACTCTACAACACTGGGACTTTTCATTCGTTCGTCACTCCTTGACCCAAATTATCCTCCAGCATGAAAACATTACATGTCAGTCCGTCTGCGTGCAGTAATGGTTCCCTCCCGAACTTGGTGTTTCCATTTTCAACCCACTGCCATGGACTGCAGCAACACAGACCTCTGAGCCACACACAGACCTCTGAGCCACTTAAAGCAGTCACACCCTGCTTTATAATCTCACATTAAATTTGATTAAATTACGCCATCTCTTGCCAACAATATGCCTGCTGACCTCACCAAATCACACCAACTGAATCCAAGCCCCTGGATCAATGCCTATGAAATGTAACTGGAGAAACTGCAGCTGGATACAATTCAGCTATGACACAATGATCGTAGTTGTATTGTTTTACCAAACTAATGCCGTGTTTACGCAATGTTCTTTACTTGTGCATTGGCGTGAAATGACAAAGCCACACCGCGGTGTATGTTTACAATTCTTTAGCGCAGGTTGATTACTGGAATACACTTTAAGGAACTGTAATGGCCACAAACAGGCCTTTAATCCAGTGGTCCCCAACCACCGGGCTGCGGGCCGCTACTGGTCCGTGGGACCATTTGGTACCGGGCCGCACCACAGAAAGAATATATATATTATTTTTTTTCTGAAAAATGTTTTATTTTGAAAGTTGACCGGCTTTTCTACTAATTATGTGCGCTCGTCCCTCTGACAATTTCCCACGCGTCACCAGGCGTTTTTCTTCACGTTTACAATTGTCCTCTTACCGCGCACGGCAGTTTTGCCCACCAGCGAACACAGAGCGCACGACTACTACACCCCCCTCGTCGGTCGTTCCGCCCGCAACGACTACTACCCCTCCCGTTATTCCACCGGACCTTCTCAACCGGTCCGCGAAATAATGTCTGACATGGAAACGGTCCGTGGTTGGGGACCACTGCTATAATCAGTACCTGATGAGGCTAATCTGCTCTGCTTCTTCCAAGATCATAGAGGAAGAAATACGTCAAGTGACTCCAAGAGAAAGTACATAAAATATGAAATGACTGCCAGCTAACTTAGTTTAGCATTAAGCTTGCAAAAATAGGGGAGGCATCTTTGTTACGACCCGTTTTATTAGCTACTGGTGTATAGATTTGTATTTATATTTGAAAGAGCCAGGTTAGCAAAACTAAGTAAGCTAAGATAACTAGCTGCTGTTATTAAGTAAAATCTTCTCTGCACGAATGTAAAAATACGTTCAATGAATATAAATTAAATCATCAGTGACATTTGTAAAGGTAGACTAATATTATTTCACAAGCTGACAATGTGCATTGTAGATAAAATACTAATCTGAAAAATAACTATAATTGAATAGAAGTACAATGGTGCATGAAATGGAGGTACTTGTGTGCCTCAAAAGTGTCTAAGTAAATGTACCAAGTTGCGTTCCACTTCCGTATTTTGTATAAATCCCTCTTTATACATGTTCCAATTTGTTATTAGTAGTTAAGACAGCAGGATGATAACACAACATTTTATAAATAAACGTGTTCATATAATGAAACATTTGTAGATGACAGCAATACGGGATGATTGGTCGTTGGTCCAGGTGGCAGACGGAGCATGTTGACAAAAAACGTGCCGACAGGAAACAAAGCACGCTCTTAAAAATAGAACTGAAAACGCAGACGGTCAAAAGCGAGACACTGTCTGCTGCGTCGGTCTTTGTTAGACCTCTAAAATAAGAGTAAAAATAGCGTGTATTGTAAACTAGAAGTTGGGAAACGATCGATAGGAAACTCACTCTGACAGTTACACTGGCCGACATGTTCAGGGAGGAACATGTGGGACCAAAGAAAACACTGGATTTGATCGGTCAGAAGGTTTTCCGATTGAGGAGCAGCTCGGCGGCCAAACAAGTAGTCACGAGGCAGACCGTTTTTTTTTTAAGGAATTGTTGGTAGCCTTGATTTCAGCTAGAGATGCAACGTAAGATGTGTTGTTTTTTTTCCAAAGCGAGCGAGTTGTTTATCAAGTTGCTCTTCCTGTTTTTTTCAGGTTCATTACACTTAAGATGTGAAAGCAAACCATTTGAATGAATCCCTCAGCCTCTTGCCCCACAGCTTTTTTCCACTGAAGTATGTTTTAACTTATTTCTCAATCCCAGAACTCTAAAAGGTTCATGCTCTCCGCCTTTCTGTCAACACCATGTTTTCACTGTCTCGTGTCGACCACGCTGTACCGCTGCAAACATACACACCCGAGCGTTACTGCTGAAATGTGCACCACATTTAGCCATCTCAAAGGAATAGTTGAACTTTTTGGTTTTCTTAAAATGTGCACTTTCGGCTCAGGCCAGAGTCAGGCCAGCTGCTCCTCTATGCTTTCAGTCTTTGTGCTAAGCTAACAGCAGCCGACTGTCCTTCATCGACAGATATAAGGGTCCATTCATCTTCTTAATTAAGTCTCTGCCAGAAAGGGAGTAAGCATATATCTTCCCCATTGACTGCTCTTCCCCCTCTTCAGATTAGCCTATACCTTGACTATAAAAACACTAAACAAACTGTAGGACTTCAATTGTACCTATAATGGCTCTTATCTATAGCAAGTTGTAAATCAGCTAATTTGCACTTTCTTGTTTCTTGTTCTTCTGGGTTTGTATCCTTATGGCTGGAAGGCACTTGTTGTAAGTCGCTTTGGATAAAAGCTAAATGACATGTAATGTAAAAAATGGTGGACTATTTCTTTAATGCACAGTAGCGCGTACAGAATGAATCCACTGGTGTTGCTTTAAATTGTAAAAATGTTTTATTACAGACTCCTACATTTTAAATTAGGTTAGCACCATTGATTAAAAACAAACAATTTTCTCAGTGCCTTTCTGAGGAATATCTAAAGAGTATATTTGACCTTTGTAGAGACAAAGAAAAGTAGAGATTAATATCTTAAGTAGCAAACATCTTCACAGTATCACTATATACACATTCATATTTTTAAGTTCTTCCCTTTAAGTGTGGACAGTTATAACACAATGAAACAAAATAAATTATTCCACTAAACAAAAGCGTTTGACTGATTGTGATGAGCAGTTCAAGTAACAGGATTGAGTCCAGTTTCCACAAAAGGAGACGTCCAGCAACACTTGATGTCACAACCAGCTCTCCCAGTCCGGAGAAGGCACAGAGGAAGGAGGAAGAGCAACATCTCGGGTCACACGGGGACTCAGGGAGGACTCGTTGGAGGAGATCAAACAAAGAGCAGCTTGCTGAAGTTCAGTCCGTCTCAAACGGCCCAGATCCTGAGCGCCGTGCTGGAGGAAGAGAAGAGTCTCGATGACATAGAGGCTTGTTTGTGCGCGGCAGGAGAAAAGGTCAGTGTGCAGGCTCCACATGTTCACATGGATTAGCCACAGCTAATATACACAGCTTTCAAATGTTCTGCCAATATAAGAACCAGTGTGTGAATGAATTGTATTACAGCACATTTCATTTGTCTTTAAGCTTATGGAAACACGTTGTTCCAATAATGCATTAAATATAGTACTAGTTCATAGTTGTATTTTTGGTTTATTAATATATAGTTATTATAGTTATGTGTCCAAAACTGCGGGAGCTACATCACTTTCTTTAGTATATAAGTATCCAAATATATATTTGTCCCTTTTCCTGAAACTGTTGATGTAATTTATTCATAGATATTCATTGAGGGATCGTTGGTAATGGTATTAAAGTACATTTAGTCTTTTCATCACAACCAACAGCGGCTGGTATTTCTGACAAAGACCTTGAGAGGATTTCAAACTGGAACGAAGTAACGTGCAGCACAGTGTTGGAGTGAAGAGACAATACCTTGTTTGTTTCATGTGTGCGCGGAGGAGCTCTCTCGGCGGGTATCCACGACACTGCAGCACATACAGTCGCAAACATATTAGATTTCACTCTTATCACGTCAACTTGTTACTTTATTAACAGCACATGCAAGTAGCCTCCACTTTACTCTTACGGTTTCTCTGGCAAGAAGCAGACCGATGGCACACAGGCCGCTGGTCCAGCCAGAAAAAGAAACAACCACCTCTTTTACGCACAGACACACGGCAAGACCGTTGGCGAACGCGAAGGAATGTCTGTGTCTCCTAATGCTTCTGTCTCATTGCATCAGCGCCGCCGTTGATTGGTAAAGATTTTGGGATAATAAATTGGTTTCCACAGTGGTTTGGCGTGGCTTGAAATCTCCTCCTCGTCTCCTGGAGCGGTCGACTGATGAACTAATCCTTTTTTTAAGCACAATCTTAGTCCTAAATCTTAAACTCATTTCCCCATTTCCCTGGTTTGCTTAGTCCGTGTGTTTATCCCATTGCAGTATAAAAGTGAGAACAAGAGAGGAACTTACGCTTGGTGATGGCGTACAAAGTCTGCAAACTGCCGGTCCTTCGCGTAGAGCTCAATGATGCGTATCCTGTCTTGGATTTCCTGCAGGAACACATGGTGTCAGTCGGATTGGAGCATTACATCACGGGAAGATAATCGTTAAGCTGAACGGGATGTTGCTTAATCATAACGTGACATTTCGACAGTAAAAACTGCAATGACTTTCCTATTGGAAGGCACATAAACCAGCTGGTAAATGAGTGAACCTGAGATTTGCCAAATCAGATCCTTAACATGTAAAAGGTGGATGTGGGAATTAAAAGTGAGGTACCTTGATTGAGGTACCTCACTGGGGTACTTTAGATGTGAGAAAACGCTTTTAAGGGAAACTTAAAGGGAGTTTTTACGACGGTTCAATTTAAAAATGTATTTTTGTAAAATTAAAGTATAGCTATAATGTGTAATGTATATCAATATAAACACCAAATTGGTGTTTTAATTTATGCAGGGAAAACTTTTACAAATCCAAAGTCCGGCCAGTGAGGGTTGTCAAGAATAAAACCTTCAGCCGCCACTGAATTTCTCTGCAATCTCTTATTACAGTAAACGTGTACACATCGTCATCCTCTGTAGTTAATATGCCGCTTTTCCTTGAGGTTTTTGATTAAAAAAAATATAGACTTTATTTACATCAGTGAAAAAAATATTACTGCTTGTTAACATCACTGCATATTAAAAAAAGAAAGTAAATTCCCTCTTAATTCCTTCTGAATCAACCAGTGGACGGCAGTTCAGGAGGGGGGAGAGGGCCCCTCCCGGCCCCTCCCCTACACACACACACGCACACACACACACCTCCTTGGTCAGTTCACTGTTCTCGTAGATGTGTCGTATCTCCTCGCTGCTGAAGTCAGTGGAGGCCTCTGCGCTGGCGCTGCTGTAGACGAGCGCCTCGGGGTATCGGCGGTAGTAATGGCTGTAGCCGGTGGTGGCCTCACTCTCATACATGGGGTTGTACTTGGTCGCCCTTTCTAGGGACGGGAGACTCTCTCCTCGCCTGCAAAGCAACAGAAAAAACAATCACAACGTGGAGGCTGAATGATACACAAAGGAACACGTCATCAAGAAAGAACTGAGCTGCCGGGAATACAACTTACGTGTTGATTGACCTTAATTATGTCTTAACCTTCATTACTGGTGTCTGTCTGGGTCCGCCTATAAGCGGGGCATCGTGTTCGGTGTTTAAGGCTGTTTTGGAACTGTTAACTGTCTTAAGTTGACAGTGTTTTTCCACATGCTGCTCCGGGAAGCATGCCATATGTACACACACACACACACCGACACACACAGATAGATGGTGAACAGACTCTTTTTATCTATGTGTTTGCAAAAAAAAAAAGAGTAAAAGTGAAAGGATCAAAGCAGGTGGATAATCTGACCATTAAACTGAAGATACAGTTGTGGGATATCTCAACTTGTGTCCCCTCAAGAAAGTAACCAGGCTGCTTTAATCGCAAAAAGATGACATGGAGGAGAGGAAACCTCTAACAAATAAAGTAAAAGTAATGTAAGAATAGGTTTGTTTATTGTCAAGAATAAACAGTCTTTCAGGCTAATATACTATATATATCTTATTAATTTCAATGACAAAGCACATATTTGTTTGTTAAGGACACAAATGTGTAAAAACTATGGAGCGACACATTGTAAATGAGCGAATGTGTGGAAATGTTTGGCCGTCGCGGTGCGAGTGAGGGGTTTTCCTCACCGAATGGGGTCCTCTGACTCATCCTTGTCATACTGATCCCGTAACGTCCTGGCGAGGAAGAAGATGACCACAGAGGCCACAAAGAGGAATCCAGCTACGGAGGAGATCGCTATGCCGACCACCAGCGGCTCAGACACATACTCCTCGCAGTGCTCTCCTCTGTACCACCAGTTTTCTCCGACACGACACCTGAAGTAACAACGGTAATTGTGAGTAACTCTATAGACTGATCATGAGACACCAGAAGAACTGCATATCCATTGCTGCTGTTTTCATTCTGATGTGAATGATTAGAGAAAATATAAGTGGAAGATTGAATCATGTTTGCATGTTGTCTCGACATAGTTAACGACAACGCTTATAATGTTCTGTGTGTGTTATTAAATCACGATTGCCATGTGCTGGAATGAAATAAGTAGAGTGACGCAATAGTTTTATTTGGACGGTATGAAGTAAACAACAATCCCGCAGCATCTGGAGCTGCCTGCGTGTTTTATGACGATGCAGAGGGTGTCTGTTCATAATCATACGATTTCATAAAAACGCAGCCACAGGCCGCGTTTCGGTCACTAATTTGGATCACTTCCACATTATTTCACACGCACATGTCTTTTTGGAGACACATACACAAACATGCATAGAAACAAAAACTTCCACAAAATCCCCCAAAAACTCCCCAAGTTGTGTTCATTATACAGCACATTTAGTGCTAAACGCCAAATTTAATTGAACATGGTAAATTGCCAAAGCTTTGATGTCTGACCTCAAGCTATTTTTCTTAATCTTGACCTATTCTGGGTCATAAAAAATATGAAGTTGTATTTGTTGCCAACTTAAGTACAAGACCTGTATTTCATTTAGTAGGTTCTGATTATATGTTTATATCTTTTATGTATGAGGAGGGAAATAAGAAATGTGCTTATGAACAAAGGCTTTAAGTCTGTTGGTCATCAGTCATCTTCACGTCCTCAAAACGAAAACAGCAGTATAGCTGGAAGTTCAGAATGTGGCCTCATATGCATGAACTGTTGAAAAGCTGCACTGGCCTCAAAAACCTGCCCCCTCCCCACACACAACCTGATCCTTTCCCCACCCACCTGCAGATGGCGCCCTGGCCGGGGATGATGTCACACTTGCCGTCATTGAGGCAAAAGTCAGTCCGCAGCTCACAGATACTCTGACAGGGCAGGCCTTCCACGCTGAAGTATCCAGCATTGCAGACGCACTCTCCCTCGCCCGACCACTTGTTCACCTTGCACTCTGCGTACTCATTACACGCCTGGAACTTACAGGGGTCGGCCTCGTCACCTGGACGTCAGAGAAACCACAACCGATGACTTTAGGTATCGAGACGCAACTGTAGCCTACCAAGAAGATGCTCATGAGAGGACCAGTTATTAACAAGATCTACAACATTAGCTTTTCATGGAAAATGGAAGAGCCGCAGCGCCCAATATCTAACGCTATGCTAAGCAAACTGGCTACAGCCGTTTATTTACCATTATTCACCGTACAGACGTGGGAGTGGCAGTAATAATAAAACAAAACACAATTTGAGCAAACTCAACGACATACTGTAATAGTTTGCATAATAATTTAAATACAGTAGAGCTACACACAGTGATCAGTTAATAATAGTACAGGAGCTGGTTAGCATAGCTTAGCATGGAAACAGGAGACGCGAGGAAACAGCTATGCTAGCTCTGTCCAAAGGTAACAGAATCCATCTTCCAGCAAGCTCAGTGACTCACAAGTTTTATATTATTTGTTTAAATTAATCATTTGTGGGTTTACAGGTGTTCAAATGTTTGTAAATGAGATGAAATCAACGCATTCGGTTGTCGTTCCCTCTCATCAGTAAAACATTCTGTCTGCCAGCCTTTCACATTACATTCAACGTCAAAGTCGGCCGCCCATTATCAGAAAAACACTCCGGCTCCCTCGTATGGCTTAAAGCAGACTGAAGGTGTACGTGTTCAACTGAAGAAAATGAAAGAAATGTATTTGGCTACCCTGATAAAATCTCCTGCGACCCACCTTTGGTCTTTGTGAACGACTCCTCTGGAGGCCTGAAGGTGCAGGACAGTGGATGTGGCTGCCTAGCTGGTGGATGTCATAACGACTGCAGACAGTTGAGAACCTACCTGACTCGACGTCCAGTGAGTACTTATCGATGGCCAGGTTCATGGTCTGGTAGGCTGTATTACAGAAGTCCTCCAGGATCAGATAGACCGTGGTGGTGACACTTTGTGGCACAGGTTTGCCAAATTTCATCCGGCTGTTGACGACAATGCTCCCGTTCCTGAAGTTCAGGATCTCCAGGTTCTCAAAGTTGCTCAGGTTGGACTGTAGGTATGGTACAAGCTGGAAAAAGATTGAAAATCGTAGCGTTTGATGTTTCAACACAACAGTGGGAATACTGAAAAGCAGAAGTACTGTAAATGTAAGACGTTCACCAGCTCGATGAAGCGCTGCTCCAGAGCTTTGTATTCTGGGGAGCTCTTGTTAAATAGATCATCTGAAAAGATCATGTTGGTCACCCGCAGGCTGAAGAACACCATCAGTGCTCGTCCAGGGTTCGCAGGCATGGCGATGCTGGCTTGGTCTGTGCCGTGTGCAACGCCGAACGGGAAGCCGGTGCTGCCCTCCTCTGTGTGGTTAATCAAATCATAACCATAGTGGATCACATCATAGCCTCGTTCTCCAATGGCGGCATCGTCCAGGCCTCGGCCAGTGGTCTGGATCTGGTGGGTAAAAAAGGATTTGAACAGTTTTGAGAAGAGACTTTCTACCTCTAACTAGCGTCCTGGTTTATGGTCTTACATGCTGTTTAAACTAATGTGTAGCAAGAAAGTTGTGTCCTCGTTTGAAAATTACAAAAATTAAGAATTAAGATTTAAAAGAAAAGCAAGATGAGATAAATGAAAAATGTCTGTTAAGTGATATTTTGCCCTTTCTTTCAATACAATTATTTAGTTTTACCTCCACCAGTAGAGGGATTATGACGTCAGGTTGCCCTTCGGAGGAAAGGTCAACTTCAGAGATTTGGGTGAAAGGCGACTCGCTCTCTGGAGCCGGCCGGAGTTGATCTCTGGTGACGAGTAAAACTTCATCCTCTGCAAGATCCTCTGTGGAGATCCCTGGAGCTGCTGTGGCCAAGTCCTCTGCAGGCGGAGCTTCAGGTGGCGTCTCTTTCCTCACGCCGTGTCCCTCGCTCTCTTCCTCCATGCTACCATCTTCAACGGCAACTACGTGTTCCTCAGGATAGGGCCCCACCTTATCAATGTCCGCTTCTTCCACGGGCTGTTTGGGATTTACTTCCTCCTCTGCCGATGGAACATCCGTGGGGCTGGATTCTTCTGTACCCTCCACCGGGTCTTCACCACCAGGAAGCAGACCTGTTTCTGCTGCCTCCGGCTCTGCTTCACTCTCTACATCTGCAGCCTCAGCAGGTGGGACCAGGACAGGCAGGCCTTCTGCTACGGTCTCTGCTGCAGTGGTAGAGATCTCGAGCTCCTCTGGAATCTCTTCCTCACTCACAACAACCTCATCTTCCAAAGCTGCAACGGTAGGTTCTTCTCCCACTGCCGCAACCCGGACATCTTCTGTTATCGGCCCATCTTCTGCGGCGGTCTCCTTAACGGACACCTCTCCTTCCTCCGTCGGCGTAGATGGGTGGAGCAGGTCCTCCGGGTCATCTGTGGTCAAACCAGAGGCCTCCACCTCCACTGGGGGTTCAGGCAGCGTGACGTCCTCTGGCAGCTCGGCCGGGAGCTCCTCTGGACGGCTTTCCACAGCAGGAGTCTGCAGAGTGTCATCCAGCAACAGACCCTCCTCCTCAATGCCTAGAAAAAACAGAAACAAGAAGACACTCAGTCCCCGCTGGACTCCTTGTGTTGAAACTGGCCACAGCACACAGAAAACTGTTTAAGATCGAATAAATGAGAGCTGAGAGGAAAAGAAAAATGATCCATACATTTCCATAGATGTGGTTTTAGTGCAAACATAAAGCAGTACGAAGTGCAAGACTGCGAAAATGGAAATGATAATTGAAAAGGATTACGATGCGATTAACGCTCACCGCCGGCTTCAGGTGCACCAGTGGCAAGTCCAGGAGCAGGAGACACAAGCTCGCTCTCCTCCAGGACAATTACGTTATTTTCTGTGTCTGCGGTGGTTTCAGAGGGCTCAGGCAGGACGTCGTCTTCTATGACAACATCTGTGTCCTCTTCCAGGATGGGGACCTGTGGTGGCTCATCAGCAGCATCAATCTGCATCACAAACAGGATTCAAGGTTTAATTGCCAATGTGTTTTCCATTGAACAGGAGTATCGATTGGTCAGATATTTTAGGTTTCAGGTTTATTATATTTTTGTTTAAAAAATAAATAAATCAATATTTGCTTTTTTGCCTTTGCAAAACACAACGTTAGCTAACTGACAGCGTCAATACACGTTTGATGGCGTGCGCAGTTATAGTCCGACATAAATTATGTTTAATTACTTTGATGATTCATTACAAACAAACACATTTACCTCAACCATTTGCCAGTACCTTGTGGCCCACTAGGTGGCGTTCTGCGGCGCTCCAGTGAGCATCGCTGCACTTTGTATAATTCCACATCAGTATGTGAGTAGATAAGATATATAAAGACGGAGTCAAAGTGACTTCACCACGTGGTTTATGGACTGCTGTTTTGAAGAGTTTAGTTAGCTAACTAGCTCGTTAATTCCACTTACAACACCAGTTACGGAACATAAGCGGCTATGGGATTTTACCTCTCCGGCTTCCTACTTAAACTGGTTATATGTTGTTATGAATTGATAATAAGCACAATTTGACACCATGTCAATACCTTGGATCAGGTCAGATATTGTTTACCTTGTTTGTAATGACTTTCTTTGGACTACTTGTCTAATACTGTCGCTCGCTGTTTGTATCGGCTGAACGGTAAAAAGTGGCATTTTGCAGCCTCCTCACTTCTAATATCAACTCAAAGAAAGCGCGAAAAACCAGCAGCTGAATCACAAACGTTCCAGATCCAAACCGGAGCAGCAAAGTGATTCGGTGGCACAGAAGCTCTGCGCTCTTGCATTTGAATCATTTACTGATGAGACGTTTGCCAAACTCTCCCAAATTATGTGATGAGTCAAACTAATCACTTAGCGAGCTGCAAAGTGAACCAACAGACGCATTTAGCGAACCCACCCAAGTGCACAGTCGACCACGAGACAGCACTAACAAAGAGAGACTTAGGATGCAATTATTTGTCTGAGTGAACTCATATGTGGTGTCTCTCCTCTCTACTGGCTGTGGTGTGGGGCACCGTAACTTTTGCCCCAGAATAGCATCAGTTTAATATAGCAAGAGCCAAACTAATCCTCAAATCCTCACTTCATCTTTGCCTTCAAGATCATCCTCTACCTGCGCTTGGTTTGGATCCGGATGACATCATGAGCCAGTTACCTCAACATCATTCGCACGTCTGCAGTCAAGCTTCTTTAGACAGAAGTGATTTTGCAGCCTTTTGGGGTCTCAAGGCATCTGTATAGCATCTGTACAGTGTACAGAGAGATTACTGTTATTATTGTGGAGATAACTTGTTAACTTACCACGGCTGCGTCTGCTGCGTTGACAGAGTCGGCGCCCTCAGACACTGTGGAACCAGTGGGGGAAACAAATAATGAAAACAATGCAAACGCGCCAAATAGCTAAAAAGGAATGCCTGCAGGAGTCTGCAGATTCCTGTTAAAATCTGGCGTGAATATCAGCCGCTGTGGAGCCAAGGCTATTACTGCAAGGCCACCAAAGCAGAAAAACAAAGCCAAACTCTGCATTTACGTTCCCTGGCCACACACACACACACACACACACACACACACACACACACACAGTTTAGCGAGTATTTCATGTGGAAGTTCATAACTTCGTCGGATGGCATGCCCCTTTGGGAGCTCACCATCACGGTAAACTAATGACAGGCATTCTCACCAAAAACATTAGCAAGCAGAAATCACTCGTGCAGGCAGCGATGGTATAGACATTATCACATCCTTCGATTCCTTCAGATTGCTGGAGAAGGACCCTCAAGCCAAAGCGGGAGAACGCTAACCTACTTACTGACTGGCTAAATCTAACAGTGGTTTAAATGTGAGCATTTGAGCATGTGTTTTACTTTTGGGTCTTCTGCTGCATCAATTATTATCACTTCTCTTCATATACTGTCCGGTATATAAAATCCACTGGGAGGAAGCCAAAGGAAAGGACTCCAGTAAAGCCCCAAAAGTGGAGGGCTCGCATTTCAAACATGCTTTTTTCTCTCAGCCGTCTTTCGCAGACCACTAAATGACATCGATTTAAGTGTCACGCAGAATAACACACCAGTCCTTTAACTGATGCTCATGTTACTGATTATGTTACTGATGCTAAAATTCCCTGTTTTTGAGCCGAAACTTTTTTATAAAGATGCCTCTGTCGTCTTTGATGAAAAGACCAGACGAATAAGAAACAGATGCGAGTGTTTGTGGTGTGTGGCGTATGTTGTAACACTAATGCTGGGCCTACTGTGTCTCTATTTGATATGCCTGCCAACCTGCGCCCCCAGCCTCTTCGCCGACATGACACTTAACTAAACAGTTATGACAACGGCATGTGCGTGTTTTGCTGCAGAGCGGCAATCGTCTCACCACTTTCCACCGCGTTGCCATGCGGGCCTTCGGTGTTTACGCTGTGGACCGCGCCGGTGGTGTAGACCTCCGGGGAGAGCTGCGTGACCCGGCGGTAGGAGTTCTCCACCCGGTTCGACTGCAAGGTGAGGTAGTCCAGTTGATCGTTGCTCACTCCTGCTCCATCCACCGCCACTGTGACGGCGTAGACGACCACCACGTTGTCCTGCCTGATGACACACACGTGATGAGGTGCCGAGGAAAAGGTTTCTTTTTTTTTGTTTTTCTGACCCAAACTCGCTGAGGATGTTTCCCACTCAGCACACCTTACCTGCACGTAAGCGTCATCTAACAACTGTGTGAATCGGTCAGGCATCAGCATTATTTTACAACAAACCTCCAAAAAGAATTGTAAAGCTGTCACAGATGACTGATGACACAAAATAATAACTGCTTGCGATAGAAAAAGCCAATCAATCAGACATCAATTGACTACTGGAATCCTCCACTCGGCTTTTCGGGTTCCTGGCAGACCGCCGAGCACCTGCTGGTCCGTAATCACTAAGAATGCAAAGAGCTAAAACCAAAAGAGCAGTGCGTGTATTTCAAATCTCTCGCCGAGGTGGAATTTATTCACCCAAGGAGTGTATGGAAATGTATATTTGACTACGTATACTATGTATATTTCTAAAAAAGATTATTTCAACCCTACAAATTTCAGGAAGTGTATTTCCCAAACTTCTTTTACAAAAACAAATATTTTCACACAGCTCTGAGTTCTTCTTCAACACCATTAACCATCAACTTCACCTTTGCTCCCCCTGAACACACAGCATCTTTCCCGCTGACCCTCGCCCCCCTCGGCTGATTGGTGAGGTTGTAAAGCCTCTTATAATCTTCTTCTATAGAAGAGCACCTGCTCACTCGTTTCCACCCAGCCTGATCCCACTTACGATGCGAGTGACCACACTAAGACCATTAACGCAGGCAACTAGTGGCACACACTCTCACGCTCACAGGGTAAATACGGGGGGAGATGACGGTAACGCCACACCCACCCACACACACACACACACACACACACACACACACACACACACACACACACACACAGATACAGCTAAGGAATGCTTGATGGGGAAATGTTGGCTTAAGCTATAATACTGTAGGATAAACTACTGCGGTCGGTACGGATGACCCACCCTTCAGTGTCCTTCTGGGGCCTGCAGGGAACAGGTGACATAGAGTTAACATTACAAGTCCTTATTGTGAGCACATTTCTTCTCTCCACAGGATTAAACCACAGCGGGAACACTGACCTGAAGTCCAGTACGGACATACTCTTAAATCCAGGAAGCCCCTCCAGAGCGTCCTCTATCTGCAAGGACAAACGTGATGACGCGTGATGAACGGGCCTCGGGAGCAGCTTCTTATTTTGATAGAGCTGCAATAAACTCGCTTGGCAAAATGCATGTTGAGTTATTGTTCCAAAAGGGCTAATTTTGTTCAAAGCAACTGTAAGGGCTGGAGCCTTTTGTTCCGTGGCCCAGACTGCTATCCTCTGGAGGCAGACCAGTGCACTGTGGTTAACTTTTTTTTATTGGTCTACAAGGCTTTGCTTCTATGCACAAGAAAAACAATTCCTATATTGTTCTGCAGACTCACTGACCTGGTTTGTTTAATCCACTGGGGAAAGTGGACACAAAAACAGGTCTCCAGGGCCTTTTGTCTCCTGGCGTGTCCTCCAATTCCCCCTTCATAACATTCATAATAACTTGCCCTGTGCTCCACTCACACTCATCATTTGTTCACGGCACGTGAGAGTGTGTGTGTGTGTGTGTGCTTGCAGTGTGTGCATATGAAGGGATGCAGATTTTATGTGAGTTGCAGATTTTCACGGAGAAAAGCGGTGATTAGGGGATAATGTTTTCCCATGTGGGAATAAAATGAAGTGCGTACTTATGATGCCAGAGAAAATCACCTTAACGAGTTTACTGAATTTTCCAAGTACCTGTAAAGAGCACTGAAGTTGCTTCCAAAGGCAGGGCACCATAAACCAAGTTTATCTTTTACCAGATGTACGTCACAACGCTGTATTTTCAGCCCATATTTATGTGCTTTTCAGACCCCGCCCAACAGATTGGGTTTAACCACCGCCGCTGTTAAAGCGTGTGGTAGTGAAACAAACAATGCACCCATTGAAGTCCACGAAACAGGAGATGCGGCCAGTCCAGTCCGCAGGTAAAAATAGAGAAGCACTAACCTCCCGTTAGTGCATGAAGAGAGACAGATGGAAGCCGATGGAGAGACAAACCTTTTCAGCCAACTGTCTGCTAAGAGTTTGGTGGTGGAGGCTGGCCGGATCGCCGAGGTCGTTGCTGTACGTCTCCCCGGTCAGCAGGAGGCTCAACTCCACCACCTGCTCCAGCACCGTGGGGTTGGGAGGCTGCAGGGGAATGTCATTGTCCGTCTGCGCCACAGGAGAAGAAGGACTTTGTGATGGAGTAGTTCTGAGTGTACGTCAGTGAAACGATGAGCGCGTGCACTCACTGGACTCTCCACCACCTCTGGAGCGATGGCGGCTGCTTCCTGCACGGTATCACCTTCATCGTTCTCTTCTGGGTGGATGAGTTCATGTGCAAAAAAAAAAAAAAAAGGACTCTTGGTTTATTTCTAGTGGATGTGAGCTTAACCCTTCGGCACGTGTGGTCACGGATGGCCGTATGGATTAGACGGCCCTGACCTGCGTACAGCCGAGCTTACTCACCAAACACACAGAAAGATTCACTGAACTACTAGCGAGAATATCCTACAAACAAGTACTAAAACACACACTGGATGATGCGCTGATACTGAAACAAAATGTACGTGGAGGAATGCAGAAACACAAGGTGATGAAAGTCCTACAGTTAACCAGTGACACTGACCCAGCTCAGGAGCCTCAGCATCTTCTGGGGACTTTTGTGTGGGAGTGCTGTGAAAGAGTAGAGGGTTGTTTCAACAGTGCTGATTTCATATTACTCAATGATGACGAGCACGTAGGCGAACAGTGTGAGTGGAGATGCAAGTAAAATTCAAAGAATGAGACTACGATTTATGTATTACACAAATACTCCAAACACAACCAAACATTAATGAACTGTTTTTAATGTAAAGTCCCCCAAAGTAGACAACTTAACTGGCATAAAGGTATTGTAGGACAAGGAATAATTAGTAATACCAGTCTCAATATTGTACGCTATCTAGCAAACGGCGAGCGCAGCTGGGCAAAGACAATAACATGAGGGCATCAGATATATCAGACTGAGGCCCCACTGACCACAACGTGTTAGTAGAATGAATCCATGCTGCATGAAAGCATCTGTGTGTGTGTGTGTCTGTGTGTATGTATGCGTGTGTGAGTGAGAGGGGGGCATCTATGTGTCTGTCCAAACCCAATCTCATTCTGAGTTTAATTTTGCATTCCATTTTTTGCAGGATTGTATGTGTATTACACAGTAACGGCGCCGACTGTCTGCATTCATGGCAGTTTGGATGTAAAGTGTGTCTTGTGATGATGATGTCATTAGTTGTGTTATTTAATGCATGATCTGTATTTTACTAGGCAGACCTCTCCAGTTGAGTTTGTTTATTTGTGTTAGGTTATGATTATAAAAAGACAAAATATTCACAAAATATCACAGAAACAAATGGAAAAAAGAAACAATTCAAAAGCGTTTGATGCAATAGGTACGATATGAGAGCCTTACATGCACATTCGGTGCCAGGACCTGGCGGCTTCACTACAGATGGTTGGAAGAACAAACATATTTAAAAGACACAGACTTAATGACAATATCAATGAATTTATAACGTTGGCACTGAGAAAAGGGAGGTTAATTTTTACCTTTTCAAACCTGGCAGTGACATTCTCTAGAAGGAGAAAGAAGCAGAGTTGTAAATCCCGTCCTGTACTGCACACAGTTACCGGTTCGTTCTGACGTCAGTGAGCCACTCGCCTTTTCAACCAGAGCCCGGTGCTCCTCTGATCGGCTAAAGTAGCCGCCAACATCTTGTGCCGTGACTGAGCCCTCCTGGCATTGGCTCATCCAGCTCTGGTACTCTTCTTGCTCTGGGAGGCGGTCCCAAAAGATCTTGAAGGCCTCCCATACGGTTTCCTGGCACACTTTTCACACCAGAAAAAAACAAACACCATTCACTTTAGAACACCAGCTTGTTGTGCTTGCAGTGATTTCAAAGGTATTTTGGTCGGGGCGACACTTCAACGCGTGAAGGTCTCTTCTAGGTAACAAACACCACGTTGTTGGCTCATTACCAGGGCATAACAAGCATCCGTAATTTACTACGGCAGTGATATACCTTCATATTGCTTTGCAGGGAGGACCAAATCTGGGTCCATACAATGAATAACCTCAGTCAGTCAGCCTAGTGGGCCCTGATCCAAAGTCAATGCACAAACAAATGTGCCAATCTTCTCCCCTAATCAACGCCGTCTGTGAGGGCTGAGACACCGGTGGTCATCTCTAAATCCAAATCCACCTTGCATAACAGATCTCGGCTGTCTTTGTCTACGTCTAGCTGCCCTCGAGTTCACACCTTGATCTCTGTCCACTCACACGTCGCAGAGCAACTAAATGTTTCTTCTGTCTTAGATATTAGATTAGTCCACATGTGATGTTTCCTGAGGTGTCAATTCACAAATCACACAAACGCTCCGACCTGTAAATAAATAGATTTCACAATGGGGATACAACCATACAGACGGTTTTAGTTTCGCACTATAAAACCCTGCAGGACTTGATAAAACTGACCTCTTAAATCTTACAAAAAAATGTTGTTCATTAAATATTGGTTTGGTTTCCCTTATCTGACAATAGTGAAATACGGGATCCACTCTCCTTAGACGTTCAGTCTGACCTCGGAGATGGAAGTAGCTCAGGTGGTTTTCAACGACTTGCTGCGTGGTCTCCTGAGCGCAGAGTTTGACTCCGCTCGGGAAAAGGATGTTCCGTTTCCGTCGGGAGATTACCGCATGGCCTTCGTCTGCTCCCCTGACCTCAGATACATGGACGACCCGCGGCACCTCCTCGGGCTCCTGACTATAGGCCAGACTCATGTCACCCATAGAGGAACCTTCCAGGGTTGCATCTGGGGGACAACAGACAAACAACAAAACACACACACACACATGAGACTTAATGGTTAACTCTTCTTGGGAAACGTGTAAGCAAGAAGTTAAAAAGTCAAAGAACATACATACCTGTCCTCATGGCCGAAACTATGACCACGAAACTAAAAACGAATCTCAAAGATATGATGCTCATGTTAAATCCGCGACTGTGTCTAAATCCTTGAACTTGGAAAAGGTCTAAATGGTTGTGTGCTTCTCCTCAACAGCTTCATACAAGTTGGCATAGTCCAAAAGTCTCCAGACGCAGGAAAACAACAGAGGCACGTGCAGAGATCATTTGACGACGCTGTGACATGCCGGTTTCCCTCTGCGGCTGAAGACGGGCGTGTCCCGCCGCGTTGAGAGGACGGCTCGTGGCTCAGGTAGGAAGGCAGATGGCTCTTTGAGAGAGGATTTCCTAATGCTCACTAATCCTGTTTACTGTAAGCCCTGTAAAGCACTCGCCAAGAAGTTACCGGAGCAACACTGAATGGAGAGGTGGTGGGGGTGGAGAGGGGGGGGCATAGTGTTTAAGAAACATGGACAGAGAGGAGGATGTAACAGCAACAGGGACGCGTCGATACAATCGTGTGTCATCATGGTTTAATGATTCGTGAAGGCAGATTAGTTCACATTTAATGTTTCCTCCGAGAAAAAGCAAACGGCCGACAAAGAGACTTCATCTTGTTTCCCCAGTTGAAGGACAGTCCCCTTAACTGTAAGCACCCCGCTAACCAATTAGGCAAATAAAGTTAAACACAGCCAGCCTCTGAACAATGGCCGCCCCGCGTTTTCTCTAAATGGTGGAGGAAAAAAACATCAACACACACAAACACACACACAGTGAAATGTTCCAGGCTTGTTTAGCTGAGGTGTTGACCTCAGAAGTGAGAGTCACCCTTTGACCCCCAAACTCGCCCTTCTCAAGTGCGCCGACAATGGCAGTAACAAGCCCACCAGGCCAACGCCAACACACCGGTCCGTAGTAACGCTGGTGCTCACCATGTTCACCATTTGAATGGAGCGTGTCGGCATGCTCACATTTGATAAATCCCCATTTGAAATTCACAGTACAATTCCGGCGGTGAAGTGTCAGGAGTTTTGCTCCGCTTTTGGGAATGAAGCAACTTTAAGAACAGGACAGATGGAAATGTCGATGTTAAGTGAGAACTTACATGAGCAACACTATCACTGCGGTGCAGCCTCTGGGCACCAAGAACGTCAGCACAAACAGCTGGAGAGATCCTCCACTCAAAGCTCACACACATCAGCTTCATGGAGGCACCTGAGGAAAATTCAAGGAATTACCAAAGTCACTTGGGTAAAACCCTCTGAGGACTATGAATGTCTGTAAAAGCCTTTGTGCCAATCCAGTTGGAGTTACAGTTAGAATAGAAAATAGAACTAAATAAACACGCATATACAGTGTAAGTGTACAATCCTCTTAGTTATGGTAAAAATCTTTCAATAAAATACGTATAAAATGTGTTTTTCTCTCTGACTGTCGTGGTGGCATCAAACCAAAGATCTGGCTGAAAAAGTGTTTATTCTCTCAGCTCGATCGTGCACCCAGAGATCATCGAGAACTGAGCCATGGGAGGGAGCAAAGTGTGCCAAGAGGGCAGCGGTTGGACTCTTACTGTCCGTGTGTTTTCCTGAATGAGAGGCTTCTGATACGTGATTTCACAACACTGCAGAAACACATTGCAGGCCATGCAATCCATAAATATGTATGCATGCAACTACCAGTTTATAAGTCCCACCCTGTTCAGCCTGATGCATGCTAGGAATTAATTCAGGACTGTACATAATTACCTTTAGTAAAGTACACCGTATGAATTGGCAACTGAGTGAAGATGTTGTGTACACATGATGGCTGCAGCCCACTGCCAACAGATTCCGGAGGCGGGGGAATTACTCTCGCGTCAGGCTGAGAGGGGATCGACACGCTGAGACATTAAATCCAACTAAGCCAACCATTTAACCCTCTGAACCGATTATATTGGCATTGTAATGGACAGACACTTTTAAAATGAATGCTTTTGGCCTGAGATTAAATGTTCGCTTCTCTGGAATTATGAACAGAGCAGAAACCAAAGAAAACGTTATATATATATTAAAAAAACTATATATATATATATAAAAAACACTATATATATATATATATAAGGACCAAATCAGCTGATCTACAACATGGGCATGTGTACCTTTCTGTTTCAGTTAACAGCTCTAATCCTCATCTTGTTACCATGTGAAATAAGAGTCAGGAATCAGGACTCTACCATTGCCTGGTTTGTATTTGTCATAGAGAACACGCTGGGATTGTTTAATACAATCATCTAGCTCTGAGATTCCAGAAAAATTATTAAGTGTTATTTGGTAGACAAGAATTCATCATGAAAAAGACACTTTGGAACCAGGTGCTGTACATTCCTCCAACACAATGACTTGAAAGAACGAATGGCTTTGAAAGATACAGAGAGGTGAAGAAAGCGACACAAGGCTCAGAATCTCTGCCGAGAGCAGTTTAGGCATCGGTGGTGACTGACAGAAATGTCCCTTAGGAAAATGGAGGGAAGAATAGGAATTAGCATACGACAGCTCAATTTGTTAGGGAATAGTACGTTTCCTGATGATAGTTTCCTCTGGGAGGTGTAGGAGGCACCGAGTGGCTCAAAGTTATTTCTTTTCTTTTATCATGAATTCAAAAAAGGGACAAAAGATGGAACAGAATAACGGGATTCCAATGATCGTATAGTGAAATTCAGACATGTGACATGGCTGCGTTTATTCAGTGAATCTATTCGAAGAATGAAGAACCAGAAGAGCTTTGAATCGAAAAACCAATGACAGATTAAAAAAAGTAACACATGACCTTAAAATATTAAAAAATAAAAGTAAAACTTGCTGTACAAACTCTGCTTTACTGTTAAATCCTGTTTACACACGTTCCTATTAAAAATAAATACAAAAAATTGCTTTTATAAAAAGATCTTGCTGCATTAAAAAAAATTGTAAAAGGTTGTGGGATGTAGAAAGAGTTTCACATCCAGATCTAATCTACTGCAAAAGAGCTACTTGATCATCATAAATCCACTGATGCCTTAACTCACAGGAGCCAAAGACAGATGTTTTGATAACATGTTTTGCTCAAGTTAACATAGAACAGAAGAACAGTATCCAACGTAAAGGAAATCCTTTTAGTTCACGCTGACATTATGGCTACGGGAATGTGATGGAGCGAACGGCCGCTCCACCCTTCTCATCCGTCACTACCATGGTTCTGATTTCGGTGAAGGTAAAGGACCAGATCGCGGATTTCGTCTCGTTTCCGCCGCACCTGCTGCCGGGGAAACCATTTTTGTAGATGTAGCGGGAGGTCAAAGTGCACCACAGGGTCCTGAGAGCAGAAGCATGGATCATTTCCCATTCCAATGTGTGCATGCTTTAAAACATTTAAGTGTCCCACTGAGCTTTCCCCCCCCCAAAAAATACATTTTATTTTGGTTGCCAATCCAATATTCAAACTACTTGAAAGGTTTCAGTCCAGTTCTTACCTTCAAAAAACTCTCGACGTACTGGAGGAGGTAAAGGCCGCAGTCACTGCTGTTGTCCTGGAGGGGAACTTTGCAGTGCGAGCTTTGCATCTGATCGGGACTAAAGTCTCTCGTGGAACCACGACGCACCTCCCATTCGGCTTGCAGATAACTGAGGGACAAACACGCGTCTGCTCACATCCACTTACAAGCACACACGTGCTGCTGCTGGCAGACAGAATCCAGGTGTCATACTTACTCTCGTAACAATTTGAAGACCCGCTCGTGAAGAGAGAGCTTCAGGGAATCCATGATAAGAATACACGGCCTACAAGAAAAGAGGCCCATCCGGCATTAGGTGTCGGAGACACACAAGCATACGATCATTCAGCAACAAAAAAAAAACTATCCTTTATAGGCCACTGATAACCCACTTTCTATTTAGAGTGCTCTGTAGGTTATACGGAATGATTTGGTTAGTTGGCAAAAAGCATCGCATGTTTCAGAATGAAATTGTGCAAGCAATGACTGAAGAAATACCGCACCAGTTCTCATTGTTGTGTATCAGGCAGCAGATTAATGTGAGACTCTCTGTAACCGCACACTCACCTCTTGCTAACAGATCGCTTCTGGCAGGTCTGCTCTGTGCAGCTCTGCAGATAGAAAGAATTAGACTGAGTAGACCAACAAAGTCAAAAGTGTTGAACATTTGTCTGTGAGAGAGACAGAATGTAACGCTGGTCCTCGTGAGAACATGACAAAATGATTTCTTACCACTGGACCAGGCGACGGTTCTTTAGTGGAATCGTCCGAAGGCTTTTCTAAAAACACACAAAATAAACCGGAGATTTAAACTTTAGAATCAAGATGAAACATCCCTAGATAAAGTTCTGGAACTGAACGACGACAACAGAGGATGTTTGCAAAGACAAGCGGTCATTTAAGCTCGTTAGGTGTCATTTGGTCGGACAAACCTGTCTCGGTGTCCAAGCCGTCCTCGTGGATTGATGTGCCCGGCGTCTGCTGGCTGTCATTCGGGCTTTCGGAGCCCCGAGCCGCCTCTCGGTCCCGCGACTCGCCGTCTGGACCGCTCCAGGTCTCCGACTTTGCCTCGTCCAGTCCGGGAAAGCAGATGAGCACTAAATACCAATGAGCCCTAAAGAAGACCACAGACACGTGTGATGTCACAGAGCAACGCAGGAAACCAGCCACTGCACAAAGCACCGCTTCAGGGGATTTAACTCACTCCTGGTTGACAGGAACAAACAGAAAGTCCTTTTCGAAGATGTCAACGTGGCGTGTCCACGTCTTCACCCGCTGGTGCCGCTTCTGCCTCTGATCACTGGTGGAACACAAAAAAATTCAGGCATTTTTTAACAGACACTTGAGAGTAGCTCTGAGATAAAGAGTTTTTGTTTACTGCTCGCTATATACTGAACCTCAAGCTCTTGAAAGAAGTGGAAGCAAATTACTCTTTAACTTGCAAAATACTAAGTTGAGGGCTTTACGAAGCTGCTAACTTATAAAATGATTAATAACTATTACACAATAATGTACTTTGCACTCAAATGCCTTGCTGCATATTGGTATCATAAAAAATAAAACACGAAAAGAAGAAAGCATCTCCTCCTGGAAGAAGCACAAATAAAAAAAGTCTAATTTTTTGGCGCACTACGCACGAGTCGCTGGTGACGCCCTCGCTGGCGTTGTCCCTCCGTGTCAGCTGCTTGTAGAAGAAGCTGCTGAAGATGTGGCAGCGCTCGGCCAACGCAGCAGAAGCATTCTGGAGGAGGTATCTGGTTCAAAAACACACCAGCGTGCTCAATAGTGGATCTCTTGCCAACCATCTAGTGGGAATGATTCTACTGTACTACCTACTTGAGGTAAAAGTCAATGATCACATCATTTAGGAAGTGCCCGCAGTCAAGGCAGCGCAGGTCCTCCATTGTGACGGTTATTCCTCCTTTCAACGGCGGAGGGGGAAACTGGATCAACCTGAGCAGAGGTGGAGGAAAGAAGAATGAGCCGGTTTACAGTAGCAGTAGATGGCTGGTTACAGTTATCTGTATCCTTATCTGTATCCTATTCTGTATCCTGAGAGGAAACCTTGGATCAGCGCATGCATAGAGTGAACTGCGGGCTGCATAAATGATAATTCGGTCACTTGCCTACGAGCCAGGCCCTGGTGCTTGAATTTAATCAAGCTTGAGCGAGGTTTACACATGGACACGGAGAAGGATCCTTTGGTTCTACGATGGCACAGTGTATAAATAGGGCGGGGCTCCACCGGTTTTTCCTGTGGGAGGGAATACATATCATAGCAGCAACATGTACTCCGTAAGATTTAACACTGGTTATGTGATAAAGTCGTTCCCAAAAAGGGGGTCAGCCTATGAGGACAATCTGAGGGGTTGCAGTGTGATTGACAATTCATTTTTCAGACTTTCATCCAAAGTTAACTATTTGTGGATTCTACAAATGAGCAAATATAGGTAAATAACTATTTACTAACTAAGTATTTATCAGGTAGGCTCTGTTTTAAACAACTCACCTGAACCTGGTCCGGTTTGAGTTGTGTCTTTGGGTCTTTTTCTGCCTCCCGCTCCAGCTCGGTCTGCGCCTGCGTCTCAACCTGCAGCTGGATGTGTGCTGCGCCGTCATTGTCGGTGTCGGAATGTGGACCGTCCTGGTCTGAGCCCGGACGAGAGTCGGCGGTCTGCAGGCCGAGCAGAGACAGCAGATGAGAGCCCAGGCCAGTTCTTCTGATCAGCTCTACGCTGTCATCCAGAGAAAGGACAGGAGTGTGGAAGCCCTTCAAACAGCTACATGCGTCCAAGTTGCCGGTGGATTGTTCATGTGTCAGACTGTTGAGACAGTCAATGTCCAGGAGGGAGCGTAACAAAGCCCCCTCCACTCCTTCCACGGGGTATTTCAGCGTCAGCAGAATGAAGGGGCTCACTTCGCTGAAGGGGCCTGTTCCAATAACATTTAAAGAAAAAAGAAAAAAAAGATACATCATGCAGATTTACATTAGGACTGATGGGACACTTCAAACACCACAAAGCCATTTCAAGCTACGTATTCCGCTGCACACTGAGCAATGCAAGGTTGAAGTGTGCCGGGTGTCTCACCAGAGCTCGTGTTTCCGTTTTGTGGGACACACCGCTCCAGGAGCTCTCGATGCACAGCAGCAGCGGCACTTTCTGACACACAAAACAGGATCGCAGCGGGGGAAGGCTGCTCGTCGTCCTCAAAGCGAAGCCCCCGGTCCTCCAGGTCCTGCTGTTCCCACACGCTGTACCTCCTCAGGTCCTTACGGTCCACGGTTAAAGTCACCTCTGCCCCCTCAACAGCTTCTGGAGAAAAGCGAAGGCGGGTTTAGTTTAGACGATCCCGATTGTATTAACGCCACTCAAAATAATACCACACGCACTAAAGAAACCAAATAAAACAAGAATACACATCACATTTTCCTGTCTTGTCGCATTCATCCACATCAACTTCAAAAGCAAAGAAAGTCAATCCATCATCGGTCTAGATGTAAGCTTTTCTCTGTAGATCCACTGCAGACGCCTGAATGCAGCTTTAGAGCTTTCACGATCAGAAGCTGTGAATACGACAACATACGACAACATTTTTAATCAAAGTAAATGCTGAAATCTCTACATTGTTGCTCAAGGTCAAAGCAACGGTTACTCCATCAAATGGGATTTCCAATCCTGACTATATATTTTTCTAACGTGTGTGTTACACACCACAAATCTAAGTTCAAATCTCAAGACATTACTACCATAGTGGGGATATTTCACAGGCTCAGAAGGTGAAAGTACACCAGAGACTTGAGGGTCTAATCCAGGAACACACACACACACACACACACCTGAAATAGACGGCTAAGCTGGGAGTTGATGGTGTGCAGACAGAACGACCAAAACAGAGAGTTTAAAACAACCCAGGCCAAAGAGCTCAGGCGGGCCGCAGATACCACTCGATACCATCGGCCCAAATAACCATTGATAACAGTACCTGTGAGCGGGATTGTGATTTGCTGGTCGGCTATCTGTGAAAGACGTAAGAAAACGGTGTTAGACCGGTTAGACATGTCCTGAAATATGCGATACGAATACTGAATAAATAAACGATATCAACTCGGAATCTGGCTGTTCACAGTTTACCATGAAGTCTCCATTTGCTTTCACTTGGTAACCTCCACAGTACAGCGTGGAGAAGGAGAAGCCCATACTGGGAATTGAATCTTTCGTTGAGCCGGAAAGATTTGCAACTCCCGGAAATACCTGCAACACACAAACATTCAGTTTGGAATAACGGTAATACACGTGAACAGTGTATTGAACACTTAAACTGCAATGAGATCGAGCTGCTGCCAATTAATAAAGCTGAAACGCATTTTTACTTTTTCAATTGAATACCATTTCCCTTCATGCCACTATGTGTGGGTATCACTTTGGCGCAACCTAGTAGTAGGAATAAGCATGCAATGTACTCGACTGCAATGTATTCTGAAACTTTTGGTATCTTTTATAAACACCTCTCTGAAGAGAGACAATACGAGTTAAAATGATGTAAGAAGCTCCTACGAGGCTCCTGTCCGCTCAAGCTTCAGTGACTGCAGATCTCTTTGCCGCTAATTTTACAACATGTTTTTTTAAACATGACTAAATAGGACTAACAAGACACAAGGACATACAGCCATGTAGATGAAGACATTTAGAGAGATACCACATCCATGATTAGATATACATGTCTGTCCTGTTCTTCTCCAGCCTGCCTCAGGGCTAACTCTTCAGAGAAAACATCCTTCTATCAATTGTGTTTCTGTTGAATTGTAGAGAAATAACATAATAAAGGGACACATTTTGCCAACCTGGATGTCTTCTACGTCAGAAGCTTCCAGCTGATCGGCCACTACATCCTGCGGGCATCGTCCCTGTATCACTGCGCCGGAGGCCAGGTCAGCATCCTCCTCATCATCACTGGACAGCACAACTAGAGGAGAAAAAAAAATGATGATGCATTGCTTAGCTTCAGAAATAAGACTGTCTGAGCAATCGAGTTCTCCGTATGTCCTTTCAAACAAAGCAGTAGAACGCAGCATGTTGAGAAAATCTCCCCCCTGTGTTGCTGTACTCACTGGGTTCGGGGGGGCTGGTTGCGGTTGTGTGGTCCTGGCTAGACGATGGACTCCTCCCGGGGGAACCAAGGGACTCTCCGGCTTCCAACTCGGTTGGGACGAGAACTTCTGCTGGATCCTTCACTCCCACCCTGGACTGTACGATGCTGCGGCCCAGGTTTTCCAAATCTGCATCCTCTTCGCTTCCTTCCAGATAAACGCACGCTGGGTCCTGTCCTCCATCTCTTCCGTCCTCTCCGGTGAGACGCAGGACACTCTCGCGGTGGTGGTTGTGGCTGCCGGTCCCGTTGACCTGGGAGCCCGCATCCTTTTTTTTCCTCTTCTGCTGAGACGGCACAGGAGGCAGCAGCTCATCAATAAATGAATAGCAACGTTCACTTCCCGCCGTGAAATGCACATGTACTATTCCGGACATTCATACTCCTTCTGTGGCTTTCACATTTATCTGACGTATTAAATCCAGAGCCCTGTTGTAGTGTCACTAAGCACTAAAATGCACTTATGCATGACATGATGGGGATGTGATGAATGCAACAACTTGAACATAACGAGGTGCACGTCAGGCCGTGTGCTTCAAGCCTTTTGTGGTGCGTGTAAATGAAGAGCACTCACCGCACTGTGCTCCATTTCTTTTTCTGGATCAGTCAACCTGTCCTTGATGAAGTCGTCACAGCGCCCTGTGTCCACGGCAGGCTCCCAGCTCACTGACAAACCGCAATCTGTATCATGCAGATAAATACTGATAAGGGCTAAAATAGACTCCCACGACTGATACTACTAAGGTTCTATAGTGAGAAAACAGACACGCTCGTCTGGGAAAATCTTAGCAAATTCTATAGCATTTTATTTGACAGAACTATCAATTTTAGCATGTATGTTTGCTGTGGATGCGGGACGAAAGCATCAATTAATCTCATTAGACGAACCCTAATCGGGGCAGAGTAGCAAAAAGTTTGAATGACACTAATGAAGTTGTAAGTGATCAGCTGATCAAGTCAAAGCTTCAAAGTAAAAGTAACGGAGTAAAAAAGAAATGGTCACGAAGAGCAGCTGCACATCAGCAACTGTCTGCTTCATGTTTACGCACCTACAACGTCCGTGAATGTTAAGTCATCTCTGTCCTCTCCTGTTACGAGCTCTTCAATATCTTCCTCTATGTCCACTTCATCGTCCCCATTTTGTGATTTTCTCTTGAGAGTCGACCTGAAGAGAGAATGTAAAGAATAAAAAAAAAAATCTAATCACATTGTGCCGTTCACAAGAAAATCGTATTCCTTTAGCTAAAAGCGCCACAGTACTTTGCAGCATACAGGAGCTTCATATTCAAATAAAAACGAACCGTGTCACAAAATATCCAAGGAAAAGATTTATGCAAAAACACTTATTGGAACAAGAATCCAAGTTGCGAAAGCCTTTCCGTGAGGTATTATTTCAAATAAAATCCCCGTGTTTTCTTACTGGAAATATTGAGAGCCAACGATTCGGCCAAACTCCATTAAAAAGTGACGCTGAGCAGCTGCAGTCTGGCTCAATTCACGAACAATTTCAGAAACTCGTGTCCTTTTATTTCATTCAAAATATGGTTCAGGTTGAACTGCATTCCAGGCAGCCCCCCCGACCCCACATCCCCCTATTTTACAATCTCTATGCTTAGCAAAGCTGTGCAGCTGCTTGCTTTACATTTATTGGAACAACAACAACATGCTCTCAGCTACAAATATAAAAGGTGCTTTACACAGACTTCCTACCTATGCAGGGGGGACGAGGTGGTGCTCTGGTTGCATTTAGGGGCGACACTCTTGCTCTCGTCATTCCTGGACTCACTCCATCTGCACCTCACATCTCTGCGGACGAGAGGTTCCTTTTCGGATCGACCGCTCTCCCTCCCTGAATGCAACATCCGACTTCCCAACGGGCGGCCCCGTTTGATCCTTTCCATATACGCCTTGCCCGGTTCTGTCTCTAGGACGTCGGTCAAGATCAGACAGGGCTTCCTCCTACAGGATAAAACACAGAGGCAGCGTTTACAACCTTCCTGGAACTCGGTATTCATGGTATTATAACTCATTACAGGTCCGACCTGGTGTTTACCAGAAGATCCAGAGGGAGGGGTGTAGATAGGCCATGTGTGCCGTCATGATAAGCTTGGCCTTGAGTCATGGTGCTCATAAGAAAGTTTTTCTTCAAGCAGGTAATAGAAAAAGGCATCAACTCGAATGAAACGATCCAATTTCCAAGAAACTGTGATGACTTTTGGTTTTACAGGTTTCTGTACAATCAGTGAGTGTGATGCTTCTACAGATCACACATGGAGCTCTCGTCTTCTGTCAGCTGTAAAATGTAACTACCAGTAATACCAGTAGATCAGTAAAACACTAAGAATGTGTCAGGCTGTTCACTTACAGCTGTGAATTTATTTACAGACAGATAACAAGAAAAATATTTTTCTGAAAAATACGTTAAAGTTAAAAGTTCAGTAGAAGTCTGTAAAAATACGGTAAATAAATGAGCTTAATAGCACAGATGTTGACTGGTGCAGTAAATACATTAATCAGTTTCAAAAATGGAGACAAGATGCTTTTTTTCTAAATAAAATGGAATTTTACTAATTAAAATACAAACTAAAACAAACACATGTTCATTTAACACATTGAACATGCAGTCATATTAAAAGCAACACGAAAAAACTAAGTGAAATTTGAATAAATATATATAATATTACATTGAACTCCAAAGGTACTTTAGATTTTGAAAGCTCGAAGGGTTTACAAATGAGTTCATCATTTTATTATTGCTTCTAAAAATAATTAAAATTGTTTTAAATCTTTTCAATCGTATTAGCATTTTCAGTAAGAGCCCCATCTTGTGAAACTTTAAGAAATAGCGACGAGCTAGAAGAGCGAGAGGTTTATTTTGGAAGGCAGCTCAGCGGTTACAGCTTATAACACATTCCCTGATGCAGCTGCTTTGATTCCGTAGACCTGTGTTGCTTTTCAAAGACAAGTTTGAAGCCTTGATCCATGAGACAGCATGTGGGACCAAGTGCGTTGGTTTTGTTTTGAATGTCATGCTTTGAGATGTCACAGGTCATTAAAACTATTTGTAGCTTCTTATTAGCCGGTCCAGCCGGGGACGGAGAGCTCCTTCCCTCCGTTGTCAACCTACTCAACGTGGTTGGAGTTTACAGATTGGAGGTCAGCACGCGGACATTCAGATTGCTCTCTTCATAAACCGCCACGTTCAAAGATAGTAGTCATCTATGCTTGTGTGTCATCGTCTTATTAAAAGGTTCAAAGTTTTTTTTCAATTGTTCCAAAAGTAACAGACTGAATAGTTCAATATAAACAAGATCCATCTGTCGGTTTTTAAGTCACGGGCAGGACAATGACTGTTTTAGCCGACAATCAAGTCTGAAAAAGTCAACCTGTGGCCTTTGGCTGCTTACCTGACAATTTCCAATGATTCGACCTTCTGATCCAACCGCTCGGATCCATTGATCTGCTCCGAACTTCCATGTCTGCGTTTGCAACCTGCAAATGCCGTCCAGGAAACCTGTTGAAAGGGAAGGAAATATGGGGAGTCTCAGGAGGAATCCATACCATCACAGTGACATTTGTTTATGTGGTCACCCGGGAAACACAAGGCATCGCTGTACCTGTCTTTCTGACTTTCCACAATGTGATGACAGACGTGGCATGGAGATTTTGAGTGGGTTTTCCACCTAAAATTCACAGGATGGTTAGTTAACATGCACTCACAGGCAAGGGCAAAACGCATTTGTGTCACAATTATATTGTGTCATATATTTGTCGTTTCTTTTTTGTCTCAAGCTTATCATCTTAACGGGCCGCTTTGGGTTTGGAGCCTCTGAACAACACCCTTTAGGGGGAAACATAACTAGGTAGGTAACTGAGGAGGTACGTCTACTCTCAAACACACAAACTCCAAAAACAAGCTGAATGCAATGAATGTTGACAATTGCCTCGATAATACCAAATAACACACATACAATCTTGCCAAAAACAAATTAAACTCACCATCTGTCAAAAGGAGATTAAATGTGGTCACACACAAAGGTGCCAATTCTCGCTCTCTTACACGCACACACACACACGCACGGACGGACGGGGAAAGGAGGAGCTGAGCTCAGGCTAGAGCACGTGTGCAAAACACGGTCTTGCTTTTGAGAATAAAACATGAGGCAAAAAGCAAATGTGCTGCTTTAATGACACAAGTTTGAGCAGCATTTGAACCGGGAGGTCGATTTATCTATAAAACTGTTCATTTGTAAGGATTTACTCTAAATGGTAAACTGATCCTTTTTTAGGTTTTCTTCTGTTGGTCACACATAACAATGAAATTTGATTAATCATCTTGGACTATGCTGAAGGATTAGCAGCAAATGATTAACAACAGGTTTGATGCAGTAATTGCACGGGCAGGTCTCTGTGAGAGGAGAGCCATCATTCCATCACACATCACAACACAACAATATGACGGCAGCCATCAAGCGTGGCTTCAGTGTGTTTCCCAAAGGTTACAAGTTAAAATGCATGTGAAGAAGACATCGGTCACAAATACCCGTTTATCGTGGTCAACATTCAATGGAATAGTTAAGGCTCTTCTTTGCTCCATCATGGTCCACGATTTAGTTAAGACACAGCAAGAGCACTGCAAGAAAAAAAACATACAAAAAAAACAGGATTGGTCAGCATATTTAAACTAGGTGCCTTAATCGGGTCATTTAAAATACAATTATCTCATGTTGAATTCTAAGTCCCAAACCAATCTGGTGGCTCAAACAAAAACGCATTAAAGACGACTACATAGAAGTAGCCAATGTTTTTGCATATGGTGTTTAGTTATTTAATCAATTAAGACCAATGAGTAATACATAGAGACAGTTTCACAAACCATTTAAAGCTTTTCACAGTAACTAAAAATGTGAAATCAGGGATTTTATCACCACATACAAAAATGCAGTACTAGTACAAATCAAGGGTCTTGTGGAGATGTGGGACTATGAAAGGACTGTATTGGAAGACCAACATCAACGCCGTCTACAGGAAGGGGATGAGTAGACTCTTTTTCCTGAGGAAGCTTCGATCCTTCCATGTGTGCAGCAAGATGTTGGAGATGTTCTATCAGTCTGTTGTGGCCGGTGCTTTGTACTTGGCCGTGGTCTGCTGGGGGAGCAGCATTGGAGCCGGTGACACCAACAGACTTAACAAACTTGTTAAGAAGGCCGGCTCCATCATTGGCTGCAAAAAGGACAGCTTGGAAAAGGTGTTAGAGGGGAGGTCACTGAAGAAACTGTTATCCATATTAGATAATCCTGACCACCCCCTCCACCACCTGCTACAGGGACAGCGGAGCACGTTCTCCAACAGACTCCTTCAGCTCCGCTGTCACAAGGACCGATACAGGAGATCATTCCTGCCCAGTGCAATAACACTTTACAATAAATCATCCCTGGCTAAATAATGACAATAACAACCCTGTACTGCTGTGATGTTGCTGCTCTTCCTCTTCCTCTTCCCCTTTTACAAATTATTATTATTGTCTCTTTTGGAAGGTTATTCTTTTGTTTCAGTGTTAGTTTATTTAATTTAATAATTTAATATTGTATCTTATTATATTGTGTATCTTTTTATTCTATTTTCTTCCCTGTACATGCTGCTGTGATACCAAAATTTCCCTCTTGAGGGATCAATAAAGTATCTATCCATCTATTATCTTATGAAAACCTTCCTGTGTTGAAATGAATTTGTCATTTGTATGTACTTATCGGCGAAATAATAGAATTCTTTGGAATTGCTGAAACAGTAGGAGAGTAGTGCGCTGTTCGGCTATAAAAAGGTGCAGACTTCTTTCAACACACGTTACCTGAGCTGGAATATCATGCCTGCACATATATTTGAATTACAAATCCGTGTCTCTGGTGTACGCATGAGGTTAGCAGCAATTTGCCATGTGACGTCGCGTGACTTTTGTTATTTCGACATGTTTGACTAATTCAGAAAAACAACAATTAAAAATAGTTCCGATGACGTTACCTTTATTTACAGTTAACTCTAAACCCCAATTTTAGCTGCACAAATGCGCGTGGGGAAAAGCGTGGGAAACGTTCCCTGTTCCCAAGAAGGCATCTTTATTATGGTTATTTTACTGCAGGCCCCTCAGCGACCACCTGCCCGTGTTCTTAGATAATTGCAGGTGCATTGACGCGACACAATCACACGACTTGAAACCGAAAGCGTTAGCATCGGGCTAGCTTGCTAACTCTATGCTACATTGTCTATTATGCTAGCGAACGCGCTTACCCGAGGCCGGGGCTTCTCCCGACACCAACAGAGAATATAAGGACAACGTAGACCACCGGGGTTTTCAAAAGCACCCATTGGAAACCTTGCAAACACTTTGGAGACACATTTTGTTGGACTAAAACTCACTTCGCAGGCGCTTCGGTGCCGCTTTGGCAACATCCGGTGGCCCCCGGACGTGTTTATTGGGAAGCAGCATGGGCAGGAAGAGGATATGGTTTGTTCCCGGGCGCGGTTAAAAGCCCCCTTTCTTTAATGTATTGATTATTTAATCCAGGTAATAGCTAGTGAACCACGATTATCCTCGTATTGTATTGCATCCAGTCTTCGTTGTATTTCTACGATTTTAACTGGATGGACTTGTGTCTGCAAATAAAGAAATGAGTAAAATATATGTATGTAATAAAATATGAGACATCCTGTGAGTTTAAGACGCCAATTATTGCTATGCTACACAACCTGGAGCTGTCAGCAAGCCGGAAGCATATCACTGCACGTATCTTTGACTCCAGAGAGGCGTTCTTGACAAGAGAATAACCCATCTGTACTTCCGGTTTACGTTCAGTTACGCGATCGCTTAGGATAAAGGGAAGGGAGTAGAGTGGAGTGAACCGTCTTGTACTCATTCTCTCGTCTTTGTCTATTTGCGTGTATTTGCGTGTGTTGCGCGGGTTGGGAGCCTCTACACTGACGTGCCGTGTAGGTGTTTAACGTTACGTAAAGTAATTTCACCCCCCGCGGATCAACAGCAGAGAATCAGCACGTCACTGCGCAAAGATTACTTGACGTAACGCAAGTATGCGACACGTGGCGCGGCGCAGCTGCATGTTTTTTAGTTTGCAGATCGAGTCAGCTCGCTCCGTCGTGGACTTTGAACCCTTTCTGTAAAGCACTGATGTAGCGAGACACTGTCTGTAATAATACCGACAAGTTGCACGGGGCGACTTTATAAACCAAACGACAGTTAAATAATTAAACTGTAGCTTCGGTCCAGACTGTATAACATACTACACAGATTGTTCACTTTTATTTATTCGGGTCACGAGCTTCACTGTTATTTCTGGAGTTTTTCTGGTCATCGTGGTCCGTATAATTGGGCTTGGCCCATCATTTTGACGCAGGCCAAAATAAGTATTTGTTTGCTGTATTGTTGCAGATTCACAAACGGTCTGTAGATGGCGTCATCATTAAAGATTCAAAATCCAAAATTGGATTGTTGTTTACAAAGTTTACTTCCTCACAGGTCAAACATTTACACGTGATCATTGGTACAGCTGTTAAGAGATAATGGTAAATGTTAAGAATATAACAAGTAGAGGGGAGTCAGGAAAGGGATTTTAGATACTTAGATCTTCTTCTCGTGTTCCTTATGAATTTAATGTTTTATTTGGAAAAAGACCTTCTTGAACATGGTTTGTCATTCATGGTCATTGTCTTTGTTTCTGTCCCGATACTTTTGGTTCGGGGCGGAATATTGTTTTCTGCTCTTTCCTGTTTCGGGTCACACTGGTTCATGTTTACCTTCTGCCCTTTCCCAACTACCCGCTGCACTAGAGACATGTCCTCCAGCTCCGTTGGCAGAAGACTGGTGGCTTGTCTTCTCAATGTTTCTGAAGCTCGCAGGAAAGAGCTGGTGGAGACAGTGGCCAGGGCAGCCTTATACAACAATACAGGCAAGGGTTATGCAATGTTTTATTCCTTGTAATTAATACGATTATTAGTAAAAATATCAAATTTAGTCTCTGTCCTGAGAATAACTCAAGCAGTTCTGTTACAGCCCCAAACATGCTGAAGGCTGATAACATCAGTCTGGAGGATAATCTTCCTCACTATTGCTAATTTCAACACTGCTAAATAGACTTACTCGCAATAATTCCCACATTCACATCCACCTGTCCTCCATGATGCTGGTTGGTGTCTGGTTTTGTTATGTAGTTATAAAGCCTCCACAGCAGTGACCTAAAACAACATCTCAACCTCGGCGGACTTTCTCATGATTATACGGCAGGCGTTAGACGAGAGGGGACCACGGTGCTGAACATCTTCAATGACCATGACTACAACCGTTCCGTCATCACCATCGTTGCCACCATCGACTCCATCAGTGAGTATTGAACCGTCTACATTGGTGGTGAAATGGTTTTGTGTTTTACGTTGTCCCGCTGCAGAGGAATGCAGAATAGACTCAGTGACTTGCTGCAGCGGCACCACGGCTAGGACGCAGTCTGCTCTGCTCTCCAATCCTCTGAGAGGGGGAACCAATCGTTTAATAAGCTTTGTCAGGGATTTAAAACACACACTCGCACACAAATCAGGATGAACATTTTTCCGGCCAAGATCACAGAGAAAAGTTTATCTTATTGAATACTTATCCCGAACACAACCTTCTGACAATGCAGCCAAATTTATGAAGGTTTATAGCTGTATAGCTTAATTTAACCAAACCTTCTGTTTCTCGTCCTATTGAATCCATTTTTTTTCCGACTTGGATCAGAATTTCTGCTGAAGTAAACAGTAATATTAAACCTTGACTGTCTTTTGATTAGTTCAGCTTCCTAACCATCACGCCAACACTTGCAGTACGTTTGATGTATAGTCATGGTGTCCTCTTTGTTGTACCCAAGGGGAAGCGGTTCTGTCCGCATGCGAGAAAGCCTGTGCGCTGATCGACGTGGGCGCCCACAACGGGGTGCACCCGTGCATGGGTGCCGTCGACCTCATACCCATCTACCCCTTGGGGGAGGAAGTAGGAGTGGAGGACTGCGCTGAAGAGGCTCGGGGTGAGATGCCATGTGTGTGAGAGCACTTAGATACGTGTCCCCGTCGGTTGTTGTCCCAGGTTGTATGTGTTCATTAGCTTTCGGGCCACCGTCAGTTTACTACTTTTCTCCTGTTTTGAACACAAAGTCGAAATTTTCCCAAGTTGTTTTTAGAGAAGGCGAAGGACACAGAGGTTCTTTTAATCTGTGAATTGGTTTGTTAATTGTTAAATATCGATCATTAATAACGACAAATAACTACCTCTTGCTACATTTCTAGCCTTGGTGACCAAACTGCCACTTTATGCCTTTTGGCCTATTTACCATGGACTTGGAATTGGAAAAGAATGTCTGTAACACCGAGCCCATTGGGTACACGACATCCAATGTGTAAACCATGCGCTCATGAGTTCCATCCGAAGGCTGCAAATTACTTGCGCCTCTTGTTTTGTTTTCTGCAACACCTGCTTAGGACTGAGGCCGACGTGTTTTCACTCCAGTCAGTGGCTCAAATTGAATTAACGTCCTGTGTGTGCGCAGAGGCGTGACGCACGCCATTGATGTGACATGAAATTGCAATTTCCCCTCTGCAGCGGGGCAGCTGTACTTCACGTTTAACCTCGTATTTGACTATTCTGTAGTCGTATAGAAAGCTTCTCCCTTCTTCGTCTACACTGCCATACGGTACGCGTAGCGGGTCTCAGAGCAATGTGCCTGGTGGCTGATGCGGTGACAATTCTTTGCTTCCCGTGCTGTTGATTAGTTTCACAGTTCCTCAGCTGATTTAGCCACCGCGTGTCTTGCTGATAATAAGCAGTGTCCCCGCGTGTGTGCGCCAGCATGCCTGATGTATGCTAATCTGTGTGGTGTGATTTCAGAATAATAATTGGCAAAGTCCCCAGCAAGCACCGTATTCATGCGTGCGCGTAATGAGCGGCCCATGTGTCCTCTGTGTGCACGTGATGACATGCGCCGCTTAACTCACATGGCCTCGTTGTCGCTGCGGCTCAGCTGTGGCTCAGGGTCTCACAGAACGGGTGCGGGGAACCAGTGCTTTCCTGTTTGGCTGGGCTGACTCCCCCCTTCAGCGGGGTCTGGCACAGCGGAGGAGGGAGATGGGCTGGTTCAAGAAGACGCCAGACCTGCAGGCCATCAGGCCAGACGTGGGGCCACAGCCGCAGAATCCATTCGGTCTAACAGGTGAGCCACAGCTAGGAGCGAGGGTGGGTTCCATGTAACAGGCGAGCTCCTGCAGGTTCCTGCTGAGGCTGTACGGAAGGCTAGAATGTCTCTTTGCCAGGATTAGGAAGGTAATGCAGATGGCTTTTAAGTTTCTTAATAGGAGGAAATTCATTTTGATACGTTGTCTGTATTTTTCCCGCTTGCACTTCACACCTAACTGAGACCCACACTTATTAGGAACCAAGCCAGCTTGAAGAGGGGTTTGGTTGATTGGATCCCGATGACATGTGTCCTGCAGAGATTCTGAAAAGCAGAATAAACTAATCTGCTAATAACTCTGTTTAATTTCTGTGTTAGTGAAGCTGTAAAACATGCACTCTCACCAATTGACAGGAGACATTCATTTGTGTCATTCTATTAACTTATAATGCTAACTTGTTCCAGTCAATCAGCCTTTAAATTCCCATAATGCAAACACAGAGGGCCCATGTTTGGGGAAAGAAAATGTGTTTAGCTGTAAAGTTCAGCTGAAGCTAGTATGCGGCTGAGTTAGCCAAATCAAAGTGCTTATTATGTATGTATCCAGATCCACATTAGCTTCAGCTGAACCGTAAGATGAATTTTGGCACATATCAGCTGATGGTTTTGTCCTCCAATGTCTCACATGGTCACATTAGCACCCTGGAGAGGCGTCACCTCATGGCGATAATGCACATTAGCAATGACCACACGAAGCAAACACTGTTTCAACGTACAATATATCATGCAACATGAGTATTGAAATACCGACGTACCCTGTGAAACAGCTGTTGGTGATCTGCCTCCTGCTATCTTTGTCCATAGATAAACTTACATAAAGACTGATGAGTCGTATCATCTTAAGACGTTTCTGGCATCATCCTCGAAGACAGTTGTTTGTTTATCTTCAGAGTACCTGTGAGAGGAGATGAGAGTTACACCTATTCGCCGTGTTTCGATTCTGGCTGATTTCTTGCAGGTGTTGGGGCCGGTCCGTACGTCATGAACTGCAACGTCACTATCGACACCCAGGACGTGGCCGTGGGACGCAGCATCGCCGCGGCCCTCAGGGAGTCGACCCCGGGGGGGCTGCCCGGGGTGCAGGTGCTGGCATTGCCGCACGATGGCGCTGTGGAAATCGCCTGTAACGTGGAAAGCCTGAAAGGGGGCCCAACTGGTCCAACGCCTGCGGGGGAACCATGGCCGTGTTTCAGCATCGGCGGCCAGCCCTACTGTCATGTTCCAGCTTCCCTCATCGCGGCGAGGGTCGCTGAGCTGGCAGGTAGGCAGGGGGTTGGCGTGAAGGGCACCGCGCTGGTGGGGTTCACCCCCCATGAATGCAGGGGCCTGGCGGAGGTTGCACTGTCTCAGAGGATCGCTGAGTTCTGGAAAGAACGGGGAAACATCCGAATGTGAAAATGAATCCTTGAAAAAACATTTAAACCTCACAGAAAAGAACCTCGTCTTTGTTTGACGTCACTTTTATTGTCGTGAGAGTTAACGGTTTGTTAAGCTCTGCCAACAATGTCAGACTTCTACTCAAGGGTCATGGTAGGCGAAAGAAAAGGTGTATTTCTCTATTTTAACAAGCTGCTAATTGTAGCGGTTAGCTAAATAGAATAAGTATTTTTGTCATGCTGGCTAAAACTGTTGCTAAATGCTGTGATAATAGATCAGATCCATGCCTTGTTTTCAAGCGGTTTGTTTCAATTAAGGAGTAAGACCGAGCAGTGCGTTACCTAACTAAAGTAATTGGAGTTTAAACTCAAACCTAATATAGATCAAGACAGAAAGTTAGGTTGAACTATAATATACACACAGCAGGTGTTCTGGTTCGTAGCCGGGGATGCTAACATTTGCAGCTTACATTAGAGCATGCAAACACATTGTTGAACCCATTACTTACAATTTAGTTTTTAGAAAATTTGTTTGGAAAAGATAAATAGATAAAACACCATTCTCTAAACACCAAAGTGGTTCTTACTTTCCTACAGATGCTCAAAGCTTCAGCATGTCAACAAATCCTCAACATTCAGTAACTGTAAACATTAACCGGTTTAGTCATTTAGTGTATTTCACTTACTTTACAAATGGATTAATATTACCTGATGTATAAACCAAAATGACTAACATTGACATACATCCTTTGATATTTATACTAAAGGGATGATATTAATATTTATTAAGATCACTAATAATTGTATTTAAAAATATTTCATTTATTTGATGAGCTGATGTCTGTTTCTGATTGTTATGAATATAAAATTAAAATAATGTATTGATTCAACATTTTTATCCTGGTATTATGTTGAGGATGATGAGGGTTAAATATTTCCACATACTCTCTAATACGCCTGTCTGGGTCCGGGTCGCACTGAAGATATTTGAGTTTCTATTTAATTTTCTTCTCTATGCAATTAATAACACAAATTCCACGTCATTGTCTTCCAGAGTGGAATTTGAATTGTCTTATATGTGTGTGTGTGTGTGTGTCATTTCCTGTTAGGAACAAATGGAACACTTATGTTTACTGATGAGGCTCTGCTGATGAGTCGTTTCCCATCATTTTCCATCATCAGTCTTGCATGCATGACTCTGTGGGAGAGTCACCATCTGTGTGTGAAACAGCTATTTTTATCACAAGTCATGGACTGAATTCATCTAGAAACATCCAGTACTTTGGCGCCATGTTGCAGCGTCAATTTACCAACACGGGCCAAGTTTTAAACGCATATTTATATGTAAATATGTATAAGTATATATATATATCTATATATATATATATATATAGATATATATACACATAGCTATACAGTACATATTTGTTTGTCCATTTAGTCAAGCATCTTGTAAAGTCCACAGTGTGAGCTCATGACGCACATGATTAACCATTTATTAATGCTAAGACAAATCTGGCCAGAGGACAGGTCAGGAGTTAACTCGGGCGAGACGATTCCACTCATTTCTTACACAAGGCCAGAGTAATGCATTGAATAGCGACACATTCATGGGTCAAGGTATGATTTTTTGTCTTTAGGTAATAATAACCTGGGATGTATGGATGTGGCACAAAGGCATGGTCAGACTAAATACCTTTAAAAGACAACATATACTGTTATGTCATTTCTAACCATATGTTCAGGACATCAGTAATTCCTGAGCCAATTACTGCATATAATCTTCATGCAAAGTAGGCTCTAATCTGTTAATCTTTACACACTAAACAAGATAGTATGATTCACAAAATCCTTCAGTTGGATTAGCATGCATTGGTGTCAATATCTAAATTTGCAATACTTTTCATAACACTGTGTGCATTTGTATTTTTCAGCGTTTAAAGTTGCGTAAAGTTTTACCCTTGAGGCAGAAGCCCTGCAGTTTTCATCAATGTGTGCGCTGAATAAGCTCTCTTGTTGCGTTAACGTTCACCGCTTTGTATGTGATCCAGCTGAGGCGCTTAGTCGCACAAGCAGCGCAGCCATGCAGCTCCATTTCATGCGTACATACACAACTCCTCTCCTCCCTTCCACACACACACACACACATACGCACAACCACAGACACACATCCTTTCTCCTCTCTGCTGTCTTTGGCTCACTTCTGCATCTAGACACACATGCAAACACGATTACTCTATGGATGGCAAACACACACACGCACGCACGCACTCTCAGCCTGCCAGGCTTGGGAGCATCAAGGCCTAATCTAGGTCACGCCACAAGCCCAGAGGTATCCTGTCAACACAGACACACACGTATACACAAACGTAAATTTGCAAGGAATATTCCGTTGTGGATATTAACATACATTTTGACCTGATGATTCTGAAACTAGCGCTTGAGAAGCGTTTGTCATTTTGACAACAACACACTTTCTTCCCAGGAAAAAGAAGACTATAAATATAATCAGTGAAATTCATATTTCCCAAAAGCGCTCTCCCCATTTCCGTTTCTTTCCTCTTCCTGCCAAACAACCTCATTGGTTATGTGACTCAGTCCAATGGCTCTTGTGATTGTCACAAGGCAAACGTTTCCATTATTAAGTGTATCCTTCAGCAATTAATATCCATTTAAAAGCACTTTCCCACTGTAGCCGAAATCCCTTTTTTGTGCGGCTTCTGCTCCAATAAAGTCATGTAGGTTCCCGCATGCTGCTGTAGTTTATTGGCATCGTGGCTGCAGAAGCACCATAGGATTCCTTTGATATGACTTAGCCTGACAGCGTACCATCCAAGATGCAACCATGTGCATGAGAGCACAGAAATAGAGGAGCTTATTTCTTTACATCAGTCTCCAGCCTGCTATAAATATTCCAAAGCTCTCTTGTTCTTTTTCTCCCTCTTTCTTTTTTTCTGCTGCTTTCTGCTGTCCCCCCCCCTCCCTTCCTCTCCCTTTCTTCCCCCTCTCTCTCTGTTTGTCCATTTTTTTCCTACACACTGCCTCCCACATCTTTTCCTGCTCCTGTTGTTTATAATTTAGACAAATGTGTCTCGTCTGGCAGATTGGTCAAAGCGGCATTTCTGAACCTATAAGATTTTCTTTCCCCCACAACTGCCATTCCTTCACGACTATTTACTAAGCCGACAGTGATTTTATCAGGCTATATATAAATCACCTCCTCCTTCCCTTGGTTACTTTCCTATAGCCCAAAGATTTTTGGCAATCGAGTACGGCGTGACGGTTAATCACAGCCCTTAATCCCATCCACGGATGCTCAGATGTTTGACTTTAAAAACAGGAACATTTACAAGAAAAGAGGCCAAGCTGATTTCTCCCAGCGCCACTGCCAGTTTGATGCTGCTGTGCCCAAAATTTGAGCGCCACAGTGCCATGATCCCTAACCTACCCGTGTGGGAAGTGAGTGTGCCACCTATGAAGGCAGCGGCGCCCAACCCCCACCCTGAACACATGTTCAACATCCTCTGGGCACAGGCTGAGCAGAGCACTGAGACACAGCTGAGAATTAGAGGGAGAGAGAGCGGGAGGGAGAAAGAGAGGGTAGTGAAGTGGAAATATGGATGAGCATCAGAGAAAGACAGAAATAGAGCGATAAAGCAGTGAATTAGGCGGAGGCAGAGAGAGGAGGAGGAGACACGCAGAGGGTCTGTCACTGAGAGGGTGATGCTGCGTGCAGACTAGCTTATTCTTCCCGTAGCAGAAAGCTCTTCGTGTCGCGTGCGGATGTGAGAACCTCGTGGATTTTCCCCAGTGGGGTCCGTTGCATCAGAATGCAAAAACGACCGCAGACGGAGGATGCGACTGTGGCTGGATGCTGGGATCCGTGTGGGCCTGTGACGTCCGCTCTCCCTCTTTAGCTACCTTCTTCATCATGAGGATGGCTCCAGCGGCACTGACCCAGATTGTGGAGTCCTGGCTCTCCGCCGTGCGCCGCCCCCCCAGTGGTCTTTGGATGTGATGTGCACGAGGAATGCTCTGCACCTCGGCGGAGACCGCTCAACCCGCCGCCTCTGCTGACATCTGTCTCCGTGGATACACGCGGACGCTGCCGGGGTAAGGATGCACTGCTCTGACACGCACGTTTAGGTGTCCGGCTGTTGGGTTTTGTATGTGCACGTGCCTCTAGGAATACATTACAAAAATACTACTATAATGTTCATCCAATTTCTATTTCCCACGCGCGTGTCCCACAGAAATAGGGTTGGCGGGGGTGTATGGATTCTATTCAGAGGCTTCAAACAGTACCATAGCGTGGCGGTGCTAATGAAGTGATGCCATATTGTGTGGATGCACTATGCAGACTGGCTCTGTGCATAATGTATGATCTGGGAGATGTCATGGTGTGCAACAAGTAACTATGCTTCCCCCAAAGTACTGAGGAAAGTAGGTTAGGATGGGACAGGCTGAGGAGACATCAATAAAACATTTATTAAAGAGCTTTTTGGATTCTGAAAGCATTTGGCTCCGTTCTGGTTGGAAGGAAAATGGACACAAGGCAAATTTGTGTCCAAAGTAAAGATGAAGAAATGTGATTCAGCAGGATCCCATCTGAGCCTGTCTGATGAAGCCAAATCTGACCCAGTATCTTCCTCCTCATTCTGGCCGGTGCAGTTCAGGTCAGGTCAATTTAGTTAATTTAATCCAGCTCCCTTAAAGGAGTCGATGACACACATCAGGGATCAGCACATCTCTAACCACGAGATAGTAGTGAGTGTTACTTTGCCAGACACTTTGAGCAGACGTCAGACACAAAGAGAATCTCAGCGTCGGATGCTGACTTTAGTCTTTTTACCTCCAATGCTTCAATTAGCACATGCTCTGTTGGATGGTGATTTGGTAGCTTGAGAAAGACAGTTTCAATTGGTGTTCATTTAACTAAATGAAGTTTGACCATATCACATCAGATTTGGTATCTGCTGAGCTGATGATTGTTTTATGTTTTGCGCATCATCGTATCAGTATCAGCTCCACACAAAGGGATGCGCTGGAAAAGATCTTGTTTGTATGACGTGCTTCTCCAACCACATAGGAAATCAAAAGTTATCATGGCTGTTCGTAGCTGAATTGAAAAGCCAGAAGTCAGGCAAAGGGCAAGACAAGACACTGTATTGAGATTTCAGATGGATAGTTATAGCGTTGCTCTCAGCTACAGTATTCACGTGCCAAGAGACAGAAATAGTTATGAGAAGACTGGAAAGAAGAGCAAGTAAGATAAGTTCAAACCTCGGGCAACATTTCCAGCTCCGCACAGCTGGCCAATCACCCTGCTAATTGGGAGAGAATGTTGGCTTCAGTAAGTTAAAGAAATCGTGCGACCGTCCCAAAAGGACCAATTGCTTGGCCTCAAGAAGTCGTGCTTGCAATATTGACGAGAACCGCCGAATGGCTTCTGGCACCCGCCAAGTGTGGACTTGATTGGATGGATGCTTCTCGGGATAGATGGATGACAGTCTCACATATAGACATATGTTTGATGATGCTGCTACAGCGCCACCTGTTGTCATAGTCACTCGGACGTCATGTCCACTACATGTGGTTGCAATAGCACAAAGATTCAGGTAAAATGCTCTGCCCACAGAATTTGAGCTAACTCTGTTAGCCAGCCCGAGCAAGGAAATTCAAAACATCAGAAACCCCCAAACGTATCTTTTTCCATGTAGATAATCCGTCCAAAATTTGGTAACAATTGCCGAGAGGATCATTTCAACTATCTCCAGTTTCTACTTTTACGTAATTTGGCATTATGCTCAATTACTGTATATGGATCACAGTTGTCTGGAATCACAAAAAACAGGAAAAAACACAACCTTTGACTTTTGATAGAACGAAC